GTCTGGTCCTCCCCCTCCGAGACCTCCTCCCTCCCCTCCCCGTGGAGGCGGGCGGGGAGCAAACAAGCCAAAACCACTGCCTGCGGAGCTGGGCGGCCCGAGCGCCCACCGCGGTGGGCTGGCGGCGCCGGCCTGCGGGGAGGGGCCCGCGTGGCTGCGGCACGCCTGGTGCGACGACTATGACGACGTCAACGCCGGTTACAAAGGCGGCGTCGACAACGGCAGCGAGGATGCTAGCGGCGACGGCAGCGACGCGACGGCGGAGATCCAGACGACGACGATGACGACGACGGCGATGACTACGATGACGACCACGACCAAGGTCATGACGACGGAAGCGGCGGCGACAACGGTGATGACGGCAGCGGCGACGCATGCGGGGGGGTGGATGTTTTGATCCTAGCCAGATTCACGTACTGTCCTCCAGCTGCCATACAGGAGCGTCACATAAGGAGCGAGGGGCTATTCTGGCCTCGGCGAACGTCGGCCGAGACGGGGCTCCCCGATCTGCGCCCAAGAAACGGTCCGAAAATCAGCGCCCCTACTGAAACCAAACGGTTCTTAGCATCTTGGCCGCAGCACCTGTGAGCTTGGCGAGACGGCGCTGAAAGTTCCAAGAATGGCTGACAATGCAATGTGCAATGCGTGCCCGCCCCCGCCAACCCGCGCCCCCCTCCCCACTGGGTGGCCACGAGAGAGGGCGCCATGCCTCGATCCTCGAGGATCGGTCCTCGAAGACCGAAGCGAAGGGCATGCTGTTGCACCGCTGTGGCCTCCGCTCCGAATCCCACCAGCCCTCTGGACGTAGGTGGTCTAGGGGGCTTCCTCTTCCAATCCCCTTCTTCCCCTTCGGGGAGGGGCCCGTGGCCATTTTTGGCTCGGGGTCTTCTCAGGGGGCGCTCGGACATACGGCTGTCTGATACTCAATGTGTATCGCAGGCGGGCCCGGGATGGAGGCCATCCTCGCTCGGCTGCCTGAGTTGCTGGTGGCGCAGGCGGCGCTGGTCGACGCAGGGGGTGCGCGGAGCCCTAGGGCCTCGAGCTTGGCCAGGGCCCCCCCTGAGGCCCCTGGCTCCTCTTGACATCCTCCCTGGACCTCCAGCGAGCCAGCGCCCTCGTTCCTTTCCATCGCGGTGCCGGGGAGGGCGGCCCCCGCGAACCTCGGCGGACTCGGGGCCCCACTGACGACGGGCCTGCCGCCCCCCAGCCCGGCGACGCGAAGGCGCCGGACTCCTCGCAGCGCGGGCCATGACGGGCGCCCTTGTATCCCCGAGAGTGGCACCGGCACAGGGTGGCCAATGGAGCCCCTCCGTTGTTTCGAGGCATTCTCCGAATGTCGGAGGCGCGCCCATCCTCGATCAGGAGCGCCTCGGGGGCCCTGCGATCCGGGCGCGTTCCCCGATGCTAGAGGCAGCAGAACTTCCGTTTGGTGTCCGCCCAGGCAACGGCCTCGGCCACGCAGGGGCCCCATTCTTCATCACCTGCCGCTGGGGGAGATCCCCTCGCCCCCACGGGGCCGGTTTATTACCCCTCCTCTGGTCCGACGCCCGCGGCAGAAACAGCCCGCGTCCAGGGCGCGGTCGAGCTGGGCGGTGAGCCGTCCTTTGGCCAGAGAATCGGCCCCTTTCTGGGCGGCGACCGCGGGGCCCCCGATCTCCCGGTCCTCGCCCAGGTCCAAGATGGCCTTGGCGTCCACTCCCGTGCATTTGCGCGCGCGAGTGCAACGCGAGAGGCTCCGCGCTGCCGCAGGTGACGTCATCCGGCAGAGATGGATCACCTTCACCTCCGCCTGCTCCAGGGTCCGCCTTAGCCGCGGGTCCGCGCAGCTGCGCGGCCGGGGGCAAGGGGAATCCTGCCCTTGACGCCTCCTGCCTGATGGGGTCTCCGCACAGGCCCAGGTCGAGCCGGAACCTTTGCCCGCGCACTTCCCCCACGAGGCGACTGGGCAGGCGAGGCGGCTGGTCGCTTCGAGCCCGAAACACATTCGCGAAAAAATCATCGTCCACGGGGCAGGCGCCTGGGCCTTTCCAATCCAGCTCCAAGAGGCAAAGCCGGTGATCCTCCGCCGGGCGCGCCATTCAGGGGGGCCGGCTGGGCCGCGCGTAGATCTAGAAGAACGAGCGCGGTCCCCAATCGATCGTGAACAGGAGGAAGGAGACGCCCATGAGGGGCGCTAACATAAAAGCACCCGCAGGCCCACTGGCGCCTCCACCCTCCCTCTCCTTCGATCTCCTCGCAGACCTCATCCGGGTCAGATCCTTCCACGCGGGCGAGCCAGGCCGGGGGGGCTTCCCAGCCCCCCTAACCGCCATGGGGGCAGGGCCGGCATCCTCCGCGCCTTTTGCCAATCGCGCCCCGGACTGCGCCCTCGGCCGACAAGGACGTCTTGGACTCCGCCCCGGGCCTGGTTGGGTCATCCTTGACCCTCTGGGCTATCCCGCCTTCAGCACCTCCACCCGGGGGGGCATGGTTCCTCCCCCCTGCGGGCCCCACAAGGAAG